TTTTTCGTGAAAAATTTCACATATCAAACAGCCAAAAAAGTGGAAAATATTTTTCTACTTTCCCGAAAAATGTAACCTATCAAACACGGCCTTAAAGAATTTTAGCTGCACATTCGGAATGAAAATACAGCCTGAACATGTTAATAAAGAAGAATATGATGGATCATAATATGTTATTGGGGACCACATTGCTACAAAAATTAATATCTGGTACTTAAGTGTAAGGAAAAATTAGTTAGTGATCCAATTGATACAAGAATTATACTAGATGTACACCCGATGGTTTACATAATGGATTACACCCCCTCATATGGAGGGGGATCCACGAATATTTTATTATGTATGAGCCCCCCTTCATGCAATGGGGATGTAATCTATTGTGTAACTCATTGTGTACGTCTATCATAACTTAAATAATCAAATTTTGATACCCTACGTGTAATTTTGCTTGAATATCTCGTGGGGTTGCTGTGGCCTGTGGGTAGGAATAAACAAAGGACCAGTTCCAGCCATTTCTTCTCCCAATAAAGCTTTCAAGATTAACCCAAAATCTTTACATATTTTCAACTTTTTAACTCCCAACAACCCGATCCGGATATTGGATAAATTTTCACAACTTTCAGCGTTACTAAACCTTTGGGTGAAATTTTGTTCCTTATTTTTGATATACCAAGAAATTATTATGGCAGCCAATTTTGGATCTTTACGACAAAGTTTTGTCGAGAGAGGCAGAGAAAGGTTGCTGTCCAGAAAATATAATTCCGACGTAGAATTTGAAGCGTCCTATAATAGAAATGAAGGTTGTTTATATTGGTTGTATCGATCGGCCCAGGAAAAACTTTCCAGATGGTGTAGCAATATTCAAGAAACTGCAAACAAGGCTTATAAAATGGGTCGTTCCGATCCAAGAAAAGTGGTGTTTGCAGCTAAAGTGGCCTCTGCTCTTTCGCTTGTTTCAATCCTTATTTTCCTCAAAGAACCCCTTCCTTATATTGGAAAACACTCCATCTGGGCTATCCTTACCGTTGTCGTTGTGTTCGAGTTCAGCATAGGTATGTATTGATGTTATTTCAAATATTTGAAATCCCCAAATTTTGGTGTAATTTCTCATGTTCTTGACTTTTTTCATAGGAGCTACGCTGAACAAAGGACTTAATCGCGCATTGGGGACATTATCGGCTGGAGCACTAGCTCTGGGCATTGCTGAATTGTCATTAATGGTGGGGAAATTTCAAGAAGCTGTGATTGTGATCAGCATTTTTATTGCTGGTATGAATTGTATCAATTAATGATGAGTAACTGATGTTATGTTCTTTTGATTCTTTTTTATTACTTAGCTTTGAATATGGAAACTGGAATTCATTAGGTTTCATTATCTTTTAGGTTTTTTTGCGAGTTATTTGAAGTTGCACCCTTCGATGAAGCAATACGAATATGGATTTCGCGTCTTCTTGTTGACATTTTGTATTGTACTCGTATCTGGCACTTCAGATTTTGTGCAAACAGCTGTTTCTAGACTACTTCTAATTGCACTTGGAGCTGGTATTTGTTTGCTCATTAATGTATGCGTTTACCCCATTTGGGCGGGCGAGGATCTGCATAAATTGGTTGTGAAAAATTTTAAGGGCGTTGCCACTTCTTTGGAAGGTGAGGATTTTGTGCTTTTATATCATCTAAATGCTTTTAACATGTTTGTAATCCAATTTTGTTGCTATTTGTGCAATGGAAATATGTTGAATAAAACTTTTTTGCTTTTATATAGGCTGCGTCCATATGTATTTGCAATGTGCTGGGTATGACAGAATACCCTCAAAAATTCTTGTATATCAGGCTTCTGATGATCCATTGTACACTGGATATAGAGCTGCAGTACAGTCTACAAGCCAAGAGGATTCTCTGGTACATTTTTATATTTTGGTACTTAGATTCGTTCAGCCAAAGATTTTCATTTTCTCATAAGGGATTCAATGTTATAATTTTTCAGCTGGCTTTTGCCATATGGGAACCACCTCATGGCCGTTACAAAATGTTCAATTATCCCTGGAGCGAATACGTCAAAGTTAGTGGTGCTCTACGACACTGTGCATTAATGGTTATGGCTATGCTTGGAAATATACTTTCAGAAATACAGGTATGTCAGCATATGATTACTTATCATACATTTACAT